GATCTCATACATCATCCACCCACTGAGTGACTGGAGTGAATCCAGCTTCTCCTCCGCTGTTCCAGCCCATGGGTCGTCTTTGCTTGTGATCTTAATACCTAGCGACCCTGCAATCATCTTTGTCTTGTACTCCGTACCATTGTCGTCCACCAAGACTGGCACGGAAGCAAAGCCACTCGGAATATCATTAGTATCAACGCGATGGTATGATGCGCCATCCAACTCCAACCGCTCTGGATCGGTTGGGCTAATTCCCCAGCCACTCACTCCTCTCTGCAGATCATACATACATTTCCCCTTGTCGTCCCAGAAGCAGAATGCCGTCAACCAGCCTCCCAGGTACGACGGCCCACTACCTCCGCCAAAACGATGCGCAATCTTGGACCAAAAGTCGCGTGAGGTGGCAGCCTGTTTTGAATCAAAAGTAGCTATGAAGTTGCGCAGAACGGGGCGAAGGAGGTCTGCAAATGTGCTTGTCTGAGGCCCCAACTCTGGCAGTTTATCGAGTCTGGCGAGGATATCTTCGTAATCTGCGCGCTCACCTAATAGAGTGACAGTGGGAATCCCACACATGAGGGTCATCTTGTATGAGAAATAAGCCTGCATACTGCCCATCATGAGCACCGCAGCCGTCGTACGGTCGGTAACTGTGGTCGTGCTGAAGGCTGGCATGATCCAGTCTCGCAAGTTAGGGTCCTTGACATTCTCCCGTATCAACGCTGTCATGCGCCGTGCGAGCGCGCCGACGTCTACGCTATGGATATTGCCAACGTCTTTGACTTCGAGCTGTTTCTGCCCTTGGTGCGAGACGAAGTGGTCGCGCAGTTTTTCGGCGTTGGCGTTGATGTAGAAGTTCAGCTGCGATAAGATGGCGAACCATACATCTTCGGGGCGGATGGTAAGGTGATGATGGCTGCAATATGCATTGAAAGCTGCGTGGACGAACCCGTTGTTCGATTCGATGAGGTGAGATTTACCGAACTCGTCCTCGGGGATGGAACTTTGGATAACCCTTTTGCACTTTTGCGAGTCTCGTGGACTCGTCCCTCTTAGTAGTTCTTCGCTAGAGGTCAGTTTGTGATTTCTGTAGTAGCTGTTGGATTCGTGGTCCGCAACTGTGAGTGTGACCGGCATGGTTGTTGGTGTGTATTGGAAGATCGGTTGCAGCGTAGAGAAAATCCGAATTATTTTGAAATGTTAAGATTGTACTTTTCCTCATGAGAATACGAATAACTCTTATACCTATGTGACATGGGTTTCAGGCGGCCGTTACAAGGTTGTCGCTGTTGCTGCCTATGCCTAGATCAGCCTACGGTCGTGGATGGGTGCCTTCCAATGGTTCGCGGGGTAATTCCGTTTTCGCTCTTCCAAAATTTGCACCAGCCATCACAACGAAAAGGCACAGCTTTACTTGATGAAATTGTCACATGGAAGAGCAACGCGTCCGCGAATCTGCCATCATAGCTCCCGATACCGACAGCATGATGCCTCGTTTGAAGAAACCAGCCAAACGGTGTCTTCCTGTACATGGTTTCTCCTTCGATGATAAATGATCCCGGCTCACAGAACAACAACACTTGCACAGTCTTGGACTTCTTTTGTCATCCATGTGTTCAAAAACATGCCAATATCAGGCTGCAGTTTGGCCTGCACAGCCAAGTATGTGGCGTCGGAACAAGGCAACCTCCCAGACACAACCGGCTCCATGTCTACTTCAACATCATACCTACTCCAGTGAAGAAACAGAATGTCTGATCTCAAACGAACAGTCAATTCGGGTATTTTCAGGGAGAGCCCATTGCTACAAGGACTTCCGAGTGAGGTTCCACCAAGTTCCCCATACACGTTCTTCCTTGTGACGATAGCAGGCGAGACGCCTGAGCATCGAGACGCTCGATTTGAACCACTCAGTACCTTCAAGTCTATCCCTAATCTTTCGCAAGATTGGAACAAAGCCCAAACAGCCCCCAGACCAAGGACATTTAGTAGGATTGGTTTCAATCAAGCCGTGTATCAATGATCGAGCGCAAGAACTGAGTGAGGCATGCAACCTAGAAACGGATTTCAGACCCAATCCTTGGGAGGATCGCTATCCAAAACGTTACATCGCATCACTTGAACGACTGATGAAGAGACGTCTGTTTATCACCTCATCGGGTCATCTCGGTCTCGGACCAGCAGGCATGATGGCTGGAGACTCGATCGTGATTTTGTTTGGTGGAAATGTACCATATGTATTGAGATCCCTCAGTGACAATCAATGGCATTTTGTCGGTGAGTGCTATCTTGACGGGTACATGAACGGGGAAGCGCTCGACAACGAGGGTAAAGGTCCACAAAGCCACAGGTAGGTTGAACTAGTGTGACAGGTAAGAAGTCCATCGAGGGATAAGTTTGAGCAGTGCAATTACTCTCATCTTCGTCAACATTGGCATCGGGCCGTATGGATGTGGTGAGTTTTGTCGGGCGAGGAAAACTAGAAAGAAGAATGTTGGGGACTACAGCTAGAAAGAAGCAAGCGATCGCTCCAGCTGGTGCTAGCCTATTTTGCCGTAGAGCATGCAGGAAGTCTGAACCTGCGTTTGCAGACGATTTAGCGAGCTAAGCTGGAAAAGTAACGACGGCGGTGAGAATGTATTTGTTCGCGACTGTGCTGGACGACAGCACAGGGCATGTGCATGGACCTAGTCCAGTCCTTTTTCTACTGCAACGAAGAGATTGAGGTGTGAGTCGACCAATGTCGAATCAATCGGTTGACGCGCCACCTTGTTATGATTATGCAGCTTCCGGGAGCCATCATTTACGCGTTAGCAAACTCATTCATTCCTCAAATGTTGGACGCGACAACTGCTCAATGGGTATTTGATTTGTTCATTATTACCACGAAGCCTAGGAATATAGGCATTCGCACCACGGTGCAATCCCGTTAGGGAAAACTCGTGTTATCCTATACGCGAATACTCAAACACATTATACACAAGCTCTTGCCCGTCCAACATACAGATCTATGACTTCGTATCGGGGGTCATGTCTTGTCCTCCTTCATATCGTACTGCTCGGCTGCGCTCCAACTCGAATCAAGGGGGGGTATCTTATGCGACGCCACGGCCGGCTTGCCTCTGTGCTGTGTGTTAGAAGAGTGCGAATATAGGTGGCTGGTGAGGCTGGGTAACGTACCTTCTTGTTGATGAACATGGCAATGACCAGGACGGCGACGAGGAAAACAATGACGAAGACGACGATGACACCGGGCTCACGCTGAGCCCAGTTCTTGTCACGCCTGGCAAGCTGGTGGAGAGCGTACTCGGCGCGAGCAGCGATAGGCATAGAGATGGCGGCCATTGTGTTTGTGGGTTTCTGAGGTGAATGTGTTAGACAGGATGTTCGAACGGGGTAGCTGAAGAGATTCCTGGAGCTGGAGAAGCACAGGCCAGCGACATTGGGCGAATGCGATTCAGTCCAAGAGAGCTATGGAGCAGAAAGATCTTCAGCCAAGGCTTGTCGCAAGACTGGTCCCGATGGCGTAGATGGGATAACGCGGCGCGCAACCTCCTAGGCAGCTCGAGAGAAAAGGCGGCATTGAGCTTACATTTACGAATTGAATCGGACCTCTTTTGAATTATCGAGCTGGATGAAGCTTTGTTTGGAAGCTGGTGATGGTAACGGAAGCTTGTCAGCGCGATCGGATCAAACCCACGGAACGGTCGCGACGGCAGAGGGACTCGGCGATGTTAATTGAATGGCGCAGGTCGACAGCGATGCAGCATCAAAGAGTGAAATCAAAAGCCTTAATAGCCAGAGGCTGATAGTCCGCTTTTAAATGCGCCGGCTCGCCGAAAATTTCTGCAGTTGATGAGGCATTTTGTTTGGCCCCGGGTCCTAGCGGGTTGGCCGGGAGCCTCCAAGCTTGCAAGGGTAGAAGCGCGAGCTTCGGCCGGGGATGGGAGCGGTCATGGAATTAGTGAACTTACGTGTGTGAGTCGCGAGAGCGTGTTGAGGTGGGTAGCCGATCGTGGACTTTGGGGATGTGGGAGATTCGGGACGAAGAGCAGCAGCAGGAGTAGATGAATGGCTGGGACCTGGCAACGCGAGGGTTGAGGAAGCTAGGATGGAGCTACCCAGCGCGGCCAATGGCGCGACATGCCATCATTTCGTCGTAGATGAGCCGACGATCGCCAGCCTCATGTTCGGCAGACGTCAAGGGAGTTTGCACGTGTTGATTCACTGTTTTCCAACTTGTTTACCTAGTTCGTACGATAACAAAGAAGGCCCTCTGCGCAGCTTCACCGGTCCCTTTACCTGGTGATATCCACTGTAGCTACTCCCCATGGACGCTCCTCGCGCGCCTCCACACAGTTGCGTCTGGTTGCTGCAAGCCGCCGCTGACGCTACTCATCGGCTCCACTCGACCACGACCCCTGCCACTTATTAACCGTTCTTGTGCCGCAGAAGCAGCAACGATGTCATCGCCCATTGCTTATCTGCAGTGACTGATGAACACGCAGCGAGCCCACCCTCGGATAGAACGCCCTGGCCGTTTGACAAGTCGAACCGTGGGCTGGCAGGCAAAAGCACGCCTAGCGCACCGGAGACAAAAACAACGCATGCTAATAATGCCTCATTTCCAGACGCTCCCTCTGCCGTCAACAGGGCGACGCGCTACGCCGATAGCGCCCAAGCAGACCGGAGGCGCGTGGGGTGGCCTTGGTTCGAGCAGCCGGGATCATCACTAAGCTTCTGTTGTGCCTGTGCCCCCGCATCTTGGCGAGGCATGGCACACGAGGCGCTCTGAAACGCTGAGAAGGATCGCTATGTCACGCACACATCATCACCCGTAGCAAGTGTCGCGAGTGAGAGGCAAACATCCAGGGTGTGTTTCCATGCCCGCCATAGTGACGTTGCCCGTACAGCCAATATTGTTGTTATCAAGGATGGTGCTATAGCGTCGCACATGACTCGGCCACCGTGTGACCGATGTTGCCTGGGCATAAAACACTTATTCAGGCCATCATAACAACAGCTATGTGCAGCCACCCGTCAAGATATGCTGTCGCCCGAACCAATTCCTCCACACTCGCCCCCAGCGGTAAGACGGCACCGTGCAGCACTGCCTGTGCCAGTAGCGGACTTCGTCTGCTCGGAAACAGTGTCGGCAATATCTGGTTCAATGCTGTCCCGATGGTCTGTGGTTGCCCTGTTTCTTGTCAGCCCCATCCGGACCTACACCGCAATTACACCTACTAGACGACAGATTTGGCGTCACCAGCCTCTGCACAATTCTCAAACTCCCTGGTGCCGTTTCTTCTTGAACCCCTTCGGACGACGCATGTGGGAGATACAGCCTGACCGGCAGATGTCTTAGGTTGACTCCTTGCGGATTCAGCAGCTTTTGGTTGATGGGATTGTACAACGCAAAGTCGTGGTTCTTCACTCCATTCCAAAGCTGTGTGCTGTCCTCTTTGCTCAAAAACATGACTGTCTTTCCTGTTCCTGTTCTGAGGTAGTCCGCCTCCTTGACACTATGAATAAACAGATCATGCATATGCTTGTCGTCATTGTCGAGTTGAACGAGCTGTTCGAAAGGGAAGCCAGAGAAGTGCAGTGTGAGGCGCCACGGTAGATGTTGGCGCTCTTCCTCTGCATTATCAATCTTTTGAGCTTGCACAGCTTCTGTATCCGTGTCTGAGGGATATGCGGGCTCAGCACCAGAGTAGAGGTCGTAGAGGAGACCTACAGGATAGTGCCATTTCAACGGCACATCTTCGTAGGATAACCATGCATCTTTCGGTGTGACGTCGGGGTAGATGAGGCTGCGTGAGAAGAAGGCATGTAGTTTGTGTATGAGTAACCCAAGATAGGATATTCGTGGAAATTGTATCTGCCTCTAGTCAGCTCACAAGTCATCGAGCTGTACCGTCATCATGCAAGTATCGAGGTTGCACATACTAAGTAAGGGTCCGACTCATCGTATGTCCTACAGTCGCCCTTGTGCAGCCGTATCTCGAGCGGAACACTCCCATTCCAAGTGCTCTGCCGTAGTCTACTAGTGACGTCTCTCGAGGCCATCGAAGCGAAGCATCCAAGACGCACGTCGCCAGCCGCCGTTCTGGTAGCCTAGGCGCAGCTGCTCGATAGTGGGGTAGGTAGGCAAGGCGCGGTGGCGGGGTATGCAGGGAGCTTGGGCCTGGCGTGCAGGAACCACAAGCCTTTCGCTCGGGCGTCTCTGCGACAACCACGAGCACTTTAAATTATTTGTAGGAACATGTGCGCTGGTCGCGTCTTCTTTGTCCACAACGCATGTATCATGTGATGCCGTAGATGGGCGATCTACTTACGCAGAACAGCTGGACCATGAACGTGGCACTTAGCCGCAAACGTTCGCGCCTGACCATTGACGATGACGACGACGAGGTACCGTACCGCAGAGAGCCGTCGCCTGCCCTGCCAGTATTAGGCGAGAACTTGAAGAGATCGAAGACACAGTGCGAACTGGAAGAGCTAGACATTATAAGCCCGGAAGAAGCATGGAGCGTGGATCTAGACGCTATACTTGCTAGCAACACGCTCGCGACTCCACCAGGCAGTATGTTACAGGCGCATGACAACTGGCCAAGGTACAAGGGACAGGGGTCAATAATAGTTTTGTGCGTGCAAGGAAACGTTCAAGTACACTACGAATTGCTATGGTAAAATCATCCCGATCCCATCTGAACCACCACTAACATTCGACAGCTCCGCACTACCAGACCTTTACGCTCTCTCGCCATCCCTCCAAGCCCTCGTCCTCTGCCACGATCCTTCGACACATAGACTCTCTTCGTCTGCGCCCTTCTCGCTGCCCATAATACAAGCTGCGACACCTTCGAACAATCACTTCGTCCGCCTAGGCCTACTACATCCTCTTGGTGGAGGCAAATTTCCATTAGATGCACTCGTCGTGCTAGATAAGCAAAGTAGAAGAAGGTTGGTGCTACCATTTGGTTGGGGTGCTGGCAAACATGCGGATACGCCTGCGGGACGGAACATACAACTAAGGTTAATGGGACTACTTAAAAGTTGTGTTTCGACTTTGCAGAGGGAACCAGGCATACGATAGTACTACGCGGCACAAATGATGAGGTCAATGTGAAAGTCTGGAGTAAATCAAGGCTTTCGATAGACACGATGAAGAACGACATGAGCATAGTAGTAACATACAGACATTGTTTGACATGATAGTCAGAATTATCATAAGAATACACCATGGGCTCCAAGAGGTTTCATTAGATGTGTAGTACTACATGAACGCAATTATCCCACTGTCCTCCAAGGTATCGTAGCTAGAAGTACTGCCCGTGAACGCCTACGCCTGGACCGGCTTCGCTAAGAGCAGAGCAACACCAATACACCTGCATGTGAATCTCCGCCGCCATTGTGCCATTGGAAATACCGTCTGGGAGGCTGTACTTCGGGTCGATAACGGAACCAGTAACAATCTCAACGATCATGGGGCTGTAATATTTGATAGGAATCTCGGCAAAGTTGTCGCTCTATCAGAAGAAGGGAGAGATAAGTCACACTCCATCTTACAACGTATTTGACCGTGGTATCTATGAGGGAGTAAGCCACGGTGTGTCCACGAGTGCCAACTGAGGACTAAAATACCTCTCGTAGATCTTTGCATCGTCTGTATCCATCTTTAAGACAGACAGTTCACCGAACCGGTGTTGCAAATAGGCCATATCAGCTAGACCGGTCACAAACCGCATCTTGTTTACATCTCACATCGTATCGTGTAGAACGTTCGGTTCTTCCGATTTTAGAAGACTCGTTGCTTGACGTGTATCTGATGAGGGTGGGATCAGTTGGCGTGGTAAACGTCGGAGCTGCTGCAAAATAAAGAAACTGGTGCAATCGCTCACAGTAAATTTTAGGCAGACTAGCGCCGTATCGCCATTGGTTTGGCCCTGAAAGATAAGGAACGGCGGCGAAAGCGATGGGCAGAGATCACTTACTTTGGTGGAGTGTTGCACATTCACTTCAGATCTAGAACAAGCCACTCACTATGGGTCTTTCTAGATGCGATTGAAGAATATTTTCATCGCGGAGAGTGCGCATCTCGGCGCCTAGATACGATGGTGCCTGCTGAACGTGATACAGGTTCATCGAAAGCCTCCAACGGTCACGTTCAGCTTTAACAAGAATGACGACAGTCCTATCATGGTCGATCGTAGTACGCCGTACATAGTAGGAGTGAAGGGGATGAGTGACAAGAATAGGAGCTGACCCTAATAGAGCACGACGAGTGAGGCTCTCATATGAGTAGGCTCCCATTTTGTGGGGGTGGAAACTTAGTGGAACATGTGAGTGGATTCAATGTTTCATTTCCCGTGTGTTTGCGGTGAGTGGGCGCCTAAGTCTATGACTGATGTCTTTTGGTGTGTATATGTCCTTGTCAATTTTCGACACGTTCCGTACCTCTCTACTCTGAAATAGCTTCTCACATCAGCTGAAACCCCTGGTTGTAGAATTTCGGAATGTTACTGATCGCGCTATGCCATAGTATTGCCTGCCGGGGATAATGTAAGTATTTTTGTCGCCAGGTCTATACGTTCGATCCTGCACCTCTTCTTTCCTTTTGCCTTTCTGACAACCTCGAACTGAGAGTGGAAGCACAATTTCAGGCCATATACAGCTCTCTGGATTTGAGTGCTTAATCATTGCCAATGTTGAAGTCTACCTACGTAAGTAGGCAGTTACAAAGTGGTAGACGAAAAGACATTGAGCACAGAGGGCTGTCTGCAGAAAGCTACAGTGCGTAGTCAAGTTTCGCAGTAGCATAAATAGATTCGAACGCCCTGACTAAAAGCTTTGTTGTTGTAATGTGGCATGGGATTAGTGATAAGTGATGGCATAAAGCGTGAACGAACGTCGGTGTGAGGTCAACGATTAGCGTCTGGCATCAGCCGAGCACGCCCCCAGCGACAGCATTCGGCCGCACCATTCCATCCCCATCGAAAAAGACTAGATAACAGAAGCACCATAATTCTCTAGCTATCCACTGCCTTCCGCCACAATCAAAACGATCATTGCAAATATTGTGTTCGCGCCTGTTGCGGATCCGCACGATAAGATCGAAACATGGCTTCAGCCACCACAGTCCCTTGATAGGAGACGAACCGCTTCTACATTGTCCCTCTGGTGGAGCTTGCGAACGAAAATGGAGGGAGTAGATTACCAGATGCGGCAGGAGACTCCTAGCTCCAGTCGTCAAAGCCACTAATTCTGCTGTGATAACCTAGTGTGGGTTCAATCGACCCCACCCCACAAGCTCCGGATCGAAGCAAACGTTGATACATAACCATGTTCGCACCTTGTACAGAGTCACCATCACTACTTGAAATCCGCATGAAAACAAATGAGACTGCGGAACTACGTTAACAAATCATAATCACCCACCATGCCTCAAGTCATCAAGCTGAAAGCTCCGAATGGTCAAGAGTAGGAGCAACCCACAGGCCTCTTCATCGATAATGAATTCGTGGACTCATCATCGCCAACAAACACAATATCATCAATCGACCCTGCCACGGAAAAGGAGATCGCTGTAGTACAGGCTGCGTCCGAGCAGGATGTTGATCGTGCAGTCCAAGCAGCAAAGAAGGCATTGAAGAATCCGGAATGGAAGCAAATATGCGTTACTCAACGTGGGCGACTCATGGCAAAGCTTGCAGACTTGATGGAAGAGAACAAGGAACTTCTTGCCACTATCGATGCTTGGGACAACGGTGAGCTTCGTAGAACAGATAATTGAAGACACATGCTAAACGTCATCAGGTAAGCCTTACAGCGTAGCCCTCAACGAAGACCTTCCTGAAGCATTTTCTACTATTCGCTACTACGCTGGTTGGGCGGATAAGATTTCTGGGCAGACAATTAGTACCACCCCTCAGAAATTTGCATACACTCTACGCCAGCCTATCGGTGTTATCGCTCAGATTATCCCTTGGAACTACCCCTTATCCATGGCTTGCTGGAAACTTGGACCTGCGTTAGCATGCGGCAACACGGTCGTATTGAAAGCAGCGGAACAGACACCATTATCGATTCTCATTTTAGCTAAGCTTATCAAGCAGGCTGGATTCCCGGCTGGCGTTGTAAATATCTTGAACGGGCTTGGACGGGAAGCAGGTGCAGCGCTGGTACAACATCCTCTCGTCGACAAAGTCGCTTTCACGGGCTCTACCACTACTGCAACCCAGATCATGAAGATGGCTGCTGCAGGACTGAGGAACATTACTTTGGAGACTGGAGGCAAGTCTCCGTTGATCGTCTTTGAAGATGCCGACATGGAACAAGCGGTACGATGGTCGCACGTAGGTATCATGTCGAACCAAGGCCAGATTTGCACGGCTACTTCTCGTATACTTGTTCAGGAGTCGATTTTCGATTCCTTCATCACCCAGTTCCGCCAGCGGATCAAGGTCGTTTCTGTTATCGGTGATCAATGGAGCGATGATACTTTCCAAGGTCCTCAAGTCACTAAACAACAATACGAACGGGTGCTCTCATACGTCGACATTGGTAAATCTGAGGGTGCAAAGCTGATTGAGGGTGGAGAGGCTTGTGAAGGCAATGGCTACTACGTCAAGCCCACAATTTTTACAAAGGTCTCGCCCAACATGCGCATCTATAGAGAGGAGATTTTGGGCCTTTCGTAGTGATCGCAACTTTCTCAAGCGAAGAGGAAGCGATAAACATGGCCAAC